TAATATTGTGTATATTTAATTTCCACTTGAGATCATACTAATGAAAAAATTTTCAAGTCTTACAGCTTCTATTTGCCGTGATCGATTTCAATAGCTTATTTGAAATCTTTAGATTTTTTTTTTATGATTTATATTAGTCCAACTAATTAGAGTCATTTGTCTCGGAGTTCTTTGAGTTTCACAACATTACAGTATTGTATAAGCATTTAGCATTTAAATAGCAAAGATTTTTCTTAGAAAATTCACAAGATTAGATGCATATTTATTTTTTTAAGTTCAAAGATCAAACTTGGACTACTTTTATTCAAGATGAGGCATTCGAATACATGTACTAAGATTCAGGTAAATAAAAAGTGTGGCTAATTAAGCATCAATAAAAAATTTATTTTAATTTGATTTTAATTTTTTGGTGCTAAAAAATATAAATGTTGAGAATAAAGGGATGATGAATCTTAGAAGTACATTTCCTGCGAATAGTCTTGTAAATCTTGTGAATACGAATCATGCAAATATGAATCATATGAGTCTTGAGGATACGAATCTTGAGGATACGAATCCTGCGAATATGAATCTTGAGAATAGTCTTGGAAATAGTCTTGGGAATAGCCTTGGGAATAGCCTTGGGAATGGTTTTGAGAGTAATCTTCGGAATAGTCTTGGGAATAGTCTTGGAAATAGTCTTAGAAATAGCCTTGGGAATGGTCTTGAGAGTAATCTTCAGAGTAGTCTTGGGAATAGTCTTGGGAATAGTCTTGAGAATAGTCTTGGGAATAGTCTTGAGGATAGTCTTGGAAATAGTCTTGGAAATATGATTCTTGGGGTATAGATCATGTAAATGTAAACTAGAATTGTGGAGATACAAATCTTGAGAATCAAAAAAACTAGTAATTTTTGTTTGTTTTTTTGATTTCTCATATATGTGCTTATATTTTTTGAGCAACCTCCTTAAAAATCCCAATTCCACTGGCGTAAGATTTGACTCTGCATTTTCCTGTTCTTTATAATGAATAACGGTTTGCATCGCATTGCATACTTCAGCAGCAGATACAGGTGGATCGGGCACTCTATCCTCATCTTCGTCTTCACCAATTGGCTCCTTATTTTCCTCAGCTTGAACCATTGCAATGATCTCTTCATCATTAAGTACTTCTTCTGTTGCAATTGATTCATCAACTACTTCTATATACGTTGCTACAGCGTGAGCTGTCTCAGACGCATATTGGCTCTCATTAGGTAGTTTAGAAATTATTTCCTCAATTTCATTGTTTTCCAATAAAATATTGCTTTCAATATGCTGATTTACATTATCTGCTTCTGGTTCATCTACATTTAGGAGAATACCTGTCTTGCGTCAACAGTTCTTAATAGTGGTACTACTTACATGAATCCGAGATAAAATCAATTGGCTTTTTTATACTTAGTCTTTTTCTGCAAAAAGAAAGTTAAGTAAATGCAATAGATTTTGGTATTTATTATAATTGATGCAAAAATTTACTCGATTTTTTAATATAAAAATTTAATTTTTAAGGTTTTTTTTTAAGAGTTTGATTTGGTTTAGTCAGTGTTGGGTCGATCTATATGCCCGATTATTTTTGGCTAATTGGATATACGGTTTTTTGCGAAATAACACATTATTTTACGAAAATACAGAATAAATTTTAGGTTTTCAAGAAAATTCTAAAAGACAGATTCCCGAAAGGACATAATACTGACAAAGTTGTATTAGTTATTATGCTGACCAACTTTATTAATATTATATTCTTTCAGGAATCTGTCTTTCAGAATTTCCTAGTAAACCTTAAATTTTATATACCATTGCCCAATCGTGTAATTTTTATTATGTTCAAAAATGACCAATTGCTAACACTAGATTTAATGTTGATATAGAGAG